AATGTGGGGTGTTGGGGTGGGTTGTGCATGGGTATAGGGTTTGTGGGGGTGAGGTTTGTGGGGGTTTGTGTAGGTGTTTGGGCGGTATGGTGTTTGTGGGTGGATTGTTGGGGAGTTTTTGGGGGTGAGAGGACGTTGTGGGGTTGGGGGGACTGTGTGTTGGGGTGTGAGGGGATTGTGAGGGTGGAGGCAACTGCTCGGGATACTCCCCCCCCAGAAGGTGCACAGACTCTCCCCCTATCCCCCCTGCAGTAGCAGCTATTGGGGTGCTTATGGCCCAGTACTGGTAGAGCTCCCTGGTGGCATGGCCCCAGCCACCTCATACTGCCTGTGCCAAATAGAGCTGCCTTGGCCCGGGCCGGGAGTGGGCATACACCTTCAGGTAGGACCAGGCCACTCTTACTGTCACCCAGGCTCCCAGCACCACACACAAGAGATGGGTGCCCTCAGGCTGGGCTGGGTCCTGCCTCCAAGTGCCCTGTGTACCATTGGGCTGTACTGGCTCCATGGAAGCAGGACGCAGCCTGACCGAAGAGCGCATGGCTCTCATGTGCAGTGCTGGGACCCTGGGTGACAGCAGGAGTGGCCTGGTCCTGCCTGAAGGCACACATCCCTAGGCTGGGCTAGCTCCATGTGGCACAGGGAGCACTGGGTCCCAGGCAGCCAGGCCTTTGCCACACTGTAGGGGCTCTGCCACTAGCGGGCCCTGAATGCCCCAATGGCTGCTGCTGCTGCTGCTGCCGCTGCTGCTGCTGCTGCTACAGGGGGCTGTTCACTGTGCTGGGGTAGTGGTGGAGGGGAGGCTATCCACTATGCAGGGGAGGGTGGACAGGGGACCCACCCCTCCCAAGCAGTTCCCCCACCCCCCCAACCCTACTTACTGGGACATAGCCTGGGTCCAAGACCCTGCTGCAGCCTTGCCCTGCTCCTATTTGCCCCACCACACTGAGGCAGCATGCTGGAGCAGCAGGGGAAGGGGCAGACATAGAGACACTGACTACGTGCTAAAGCATCTCTCTGGAGGACCCAGTCTCTGGTTTCAGGGCACACTCCAGGAGTGTGCTCTGTCACCTTTTTTCAGCATGTTTTTTTTTTAATATTAGGATTTCCTGGTATCAAAATTAGAGTCCACACTGCAAATATGCAGTGTGGAGAACATTTTTTTGTTCCCAGGTTGCCTCTTGCAGCATCTCAAATTACTTTCAGATGCCGCAACAGCTCACTCGTCTGGATGCTGACTTAGAGTTTTGCACTGCCTGTAGTCAAAGCATGATATGTATTTTTTTTCTTCAATAATTGTGCTTGATGTGGGGTTTGAACATATGATGCAGTTCTAAGTGTGATATAGGATATGAACAGGAATTTGTTTCTAGTGGTGGAAATCTATGAGAAATTTTCCACTGCTAAAAATCTTTCTGGAAGAGGGAGTATACATAGGCATTTTAGCTTGCAGCCACTCCCCCTGCCCTGCTCCCCATGCCTTCCCCAAACCAGGGTGATCCTGGTCTGGAGAAGCTATGAGATCAGGAGGAGAGGAAGGAATATGGCACTGACCCCTGCCTTTTCCCCAAATGGCGGGTCTCTAAAATTCCTGAGTGCCATGACTATGAGGAGCCTTTTCCTGATATCAGACATGGGGAACTCCCAACCTTTAAGAAGCAGATGTGAAGCTGAATTTCCACATGCTTTTTTTATACATTCCTTGAGTTTTTTATAAGCCCATTTAAAAGAGGCACTCATGCAAGTCCCGGGGAATATGGAACACTTCCCTATCCCCAGCTGCATGAGCAATTTAAAGAGGTGCCCAAGAGAATATAAATACTAGGAGAATATAAACTTCACTGGAATCTTACATAAAGTTCATATAATCATAATTAAATCATTAAAGCACAAAAAAAAAATTTTTTTATAACTTTGGAAATGATTGCAAGACATTTATTTTAATTTATCAACAAAAAATATTGTCAAGGGTGTAACTCAACAAATAAAGCAGTGAAGCTCAAATCAAAAAGTGTATTTACTTTTAAGATATGCATGCGCAATCAATAAGAATTGCTCATATGCATTAAAGAAAATTTTCACCATGTAATTAAATGTATAAATTAAAGGAAGATCTCTATATCTATATCAGTGATATCCAGATTCTATTCATGCCTTTTCCAAGTTCGAGTTCTTGTTCTTGAATCTTTTCCAAGTTCAAGAATGCAAATGCATAGCAGAGCTGTATCATAAATACACAAACAAAAATGAAGCCCCCCTCACTTTGTAGTTTCATGTAACTCCACAGATTTGTCACAGACAAATTCAAGTGAGAAGAAAAGTATGTAGAATTTGGCAATTGGAAGATAGGTAAGAGATATTCATGAGACAGTCAAGTCAAGGAATATTTTCAATTTAGCTTCTGATTGGCATGTAATGATTCCAGACTATTAAACCGTATATCAACCCAGTGATTTGAAAAAAAAAAGTATTAAAGAACAAATATGTTTCAGTGGGTCTTGATCATCACTCTTAGAAAGTGTCAACCATCTGTTTTTTGATAGCATCTGGGTGCCCTCTGGTGGACACAAAGCAGTAATTTTACTTAACTGTATATTTTGTTTTAATGAGTGGGTTTGTAATGTTTCCATTTGGTTTGGCATAACTGTTACAGATTGTGTTCTTTACACTATAGGGACTCATATTAGTGAAATATAAAATACTGAGAGATGATGAGAATTTATTTTGCAATTAAAATTAACTTTATTTTTTGCATAAAAACTGACCAACTGGGTTTTCTGCTTCTCACATGCTGGGGAAATGAAACTATACCACCCCTTCCTGGTCATGGATCAGTGATCATTAGCCAGTTCTCCCCAGCCAAGTATTGCAGGTTTTTTCCAGTTTGCAATCAGAGGATGGTTAGGAGAATGGGATCAGCTGACTGTGTTGTCACTAGGCTGGTGGAAACAAATGACATCAACAGTGATGGAGATATGGTGACTGCAGAAGTTAGTTTCATGGAAGTACAGGAATACATTTATCCATCTTGCACATTTGGTGCTGGGAAGATTGGGAGTTGTTGTTATGGGAAAGAAAATATAAGGATAAACATAGAGTTACCTCTGTCCTCACTTTTTATATTCTTTGACTGAAGTCGTACAAAAATGCACTTTAGATGCTTTAAAAGGGAGATTCTGGGCAGAAGTGCCCATCGCTTTTAACTCAGACTTGTAGTGTGTAACAGAGCACAGAGTGTTACTAGCAGGGGACTGAGAGGCAGCTAGGCAGCTTCCAGCTGCCTGCAATGCCAATTAGGCAGAGTGGCCTGATTGGGAGTAGGGCACAGCTGTGCTCTATAAGGGCTGAGTCCAGAACTGCAAAGAGGCATGACAGAACACTGCACCCTGCTAGGGACGGGTGACCTGGCAGGACTGTCTGTGGCAGGACAGTCCCCCCAGAAATGCCAGGCCAGTTACCACCCTTGAGGTATGTTGGGGTACCTCCTAACCCCAGTCCCACATCCCTGGTGGGTGAGATTGAGCAGGGGGAGCCCAGAATCATCAAGAGTACTGAGGCAGGCCCCACATCAGTGGAGGGACCTGTGGCAGTGCCCAGACTCTTGGTGAATGTCTGAGGCTGCATATAGGAGCCAGCATGAAGCTCCAGGAGGGTAGGGCCCTGAGCCTTGGGGAGCTATTAAGGAAACTCCCAGGGCCAGGGATAAGGGGATAGCTCAGGGAGGGCTTTGGGAGAGGGTTTGGAGCCCTGATTCCAGAGGTGGGCTTGGAGGTCCGAGGTGTGCGGGCTTGGAGTCCAGTGTACAGGACCTGGGGCTCAGTGTGTGTGTAAAGAGAGAACCCAGGGTGAGGGCGCTGGGACCACGAGTCCCACATGAGACTCTGGAGCTCAGGTCCCAGTGCTAGCTACCTGGAGGAAGCATCTGCGAGGCATGGGAAATGACAGGGGGAGATCAGGGTCATATACATAGGCTGTTGTCATCAGGGCAGATAAATGGGCAGCCTCCCACCTGATTAACGTTGGATAATTAGTAACATCAAGGCATGGCAGATGAGGAAGCGAGTGGCTGGCCCTAAGACAAGTGGGTGGGCCTATGTTTAGACAGGTCCTGGGACTCCCACTTGTTACATAGTGATACAAAATTAACTTGATCATTTAAACTTTGACTTTGAATGAAGAAGGATTTAAATTGGCGCTATTTTGTTTTGTATCACTACAGAACAATGCGGATATAACAGTTGTTATCCTTTGATATTAGTATAATTTTTACACCTCAATACCCAAAGATAGCTTTTTCCAGTGTCTGTGTACTTAAGTGTTAGCAAAAGATTGTGCGGTTTCCTTTACTCAACTGCCATGATATTTTAAAGCTGAAGTATATTATAACATGGGGAATCTGGAGAGGGTCCAGAGGAGGGCCACTCGTATGGTTGGGGGCCTCTGTGGCCAGCCCTATGAGAAGAGGCTGAGGGACCTGAATCTCTTCAGTCTCCGCAAGAGGAGACTGAGGGGAGATCTTGTGGCTGCCTACAACTTTATCAGGGGCCAGCAGCAGGGACTCAGGGAAAGTCTGTTCACCAGGGCCCCCCTTGGAATCACCAGGAACAATGGCCACAAGCTGAGGGAGGATAGGTTTAGGTTAGATATTAGGAAGAACTACTTCACTGTGAGGGTGGCCAGAGCCTGGAATGGGATTCCCAGAGAGGTGGTGCTCTCACCTTCCCTGGAAATCTTCAAGAGGAGACTGGATAGGCACCTGGCTGGGGTCTCATGACCCCTGCCACCCCCAGTGCTCATTCCTGCCCATGGCAGGGGGTTGGACTAGATGATCTGTCTAGGTCCCTTCCGACTCATCGATTCTATGATAATTCAAATCAAGAAGCTGCACATGTTGGACCCCAGCTTCTCTTCCTAGCTCTTACTACTTTTCCTTTCTTTAATTTTGAAGGCATTTACTATGTATTTTAATAGTTAATTATTCATATTTATTTAATTTTTAGACTGTAAAACCCCACCTCCTAGAAGAAGAAAAGAAGTACTTACAGAAACATGGAACAAGGACTCTTACCCACATGGTACTCGAGCAACTTATGCGTGTCGACCTGGCTATATAAAACTTGGGCGTGTTATATTCCAGTGTAATAATGGAATATGGCAACATGCCCCTCCATATATAGAATGCCAAAGTAAGTATCTATGCAAATGTATGCAAACATTCAGCTGCAAGATTTACAAGCAGTTTTTCCTTGTTCTTGAAATGAATATTTAGAGCAATGCCATGAAGTTCTTACCTGTTTGATTTCATCTGGAATTTTGACTTTAATGATTCCAAGATTTGTCTTTCAATGTTTAGCTTGGAAGAAAAATTAAGTTTTAGTTTCAAAAAATCTTATAGGGTGGAGGCAGTAACAACTGAAACATTTCCAAGTGAAACATGCATGGCAACACTTCAGAAAGGAAAACATTCAGCCAAGGGGGGCAGGCACATGCCTCTGTGCCATTCCTGCCTGGAATATTTCACAATTCTGCCATCCCCTCTAATACTAGCCAGGGTAGAGCAGCCTGTAGCAGATCTCTTGGTTTCCTCTCCACTCTGCCTTCCCAGAAACTGGAAGCAGAGGGGAGGGAAAATCTGAGAGCTGGAGAGGAGAGAAAAACTGAGTGGAGGGGGGAAGCAGGGGCATCCGAATCTTCTACAGATCTGCTCTTTGCCTTGGGGGGAGGAGTAGTGGGGATTGGGGATGGAGGGTCCAGCTCCAGCTCTGGTGGGGCCACCAGGGATCTAGCAGGGAGGGCAGGGGGTAAGCTTGGCTCTTGCTGTGGTTCTAGATCTGGCTCTGGCTCTAGGTGTTGACCTGCACAACTACCATGTGCTGTTTCTATGTATATATAAGCAAAAGTTAAACACTCCAAAATAGTACTTATTTAACGAGTTAATATTTTGCAATGTATCATCTACTCCTGAAACATTTCAGAAGGCTTGTTAGGTGTGTACAGCTGCCATTTGAAATATGGCAAAGGCATCTGAAACATTTTAATTATTATGTTTATTCACAACCATAATTACAGCAGGGGTTTATGACCAAGACACTAAAGAAACCAAAGATTTTTGACAATTTTTTTCAGAATAACCACACACTATTCATAACAAACAGTTCAGATTAACATCTACTTTAGGTTTCTGGGGCTTTAAACTACCCTAAACTCTTTCAAGATTGTTTTGTTAATGGTGCAATGATAATTTTTTTAGGGTTAATATTTGTAGATTAGGAGCATCAAGAATTAAGATTAGCTCTCTGGGTCACAAAACTCTCCCAGAGTGAACATAGCTAGCACCTTTTGGAAAAGGCCTCAAAAGTCCTTTCCTCTTGAAGTATGCACTATGCTTATTTTCTCCTTTGCCTTTCCTTAAGACCTGGTATCAGTTTTCTTTCTTTAAGAGTGTGCACTTGTGCTTCTTTCTCAGATTGTGCATATGACCAAATATTGTGCATAGAAGGTTTAATAATCTTATAGTCTTAAAGAGAGAATCATAAGTGTAAAGTTATGTGGAATTATGGAAAAACCTGAGTAAATAGTTCATAAACTAGTGAGTCCCTTTTGCTTAAATAAATACACGCTAGACCCAAATTAAACCATTCTTAGGAAGTCTTGGGCCCCAGTCTGAAGCCTTGGATTTTACTTGAGGTTCCTGTCAACTCTTTCCAGAATCAAAGTGAAGCATCTTAACTAGGTAATTTTCCACAAATAGTATTTTTTTAATACTTTTTTTGTTGTATCCCTTGCAGGCAAGAAGTACCTAGCTAAAATTGCATCAAAGAAGGTTTTGGTTAAATAGTAGAAAGATCTATCTAAATATAAGCATTTTTAAACACTGAAACAGGCTATGTAGGAAAGTTGTGGAATTCCCTTACATGGAGATTTTCAAGACCTGGTTAGACAAACATCTGTCAGGAACACTCTGGGTATACATGATCCTGGCTCAGCAGAAGAATGGACAGAGAAGATGGTCTCTTTAATTATCTTCTGACCCTTCTTTTATATGATATCTGCTTATATAATTTTAAATTCCTAACTTATAGAACCACTATGAAAATTTGTGGGCAAAAATTTAAAATCTTTATTAAAATACTATAGTTAACTATATTTCTAAGACGGGTATGAAGACCCCTTGTAAAAATTCACACCTTCCTCTGGCTCAGGAGAAGCTCCACTCTAGCCAGCCCTTCTCAGGTGGCCCTGCTAGTCTTTCCTGCCATGTCTCATTGATTTTTCTCTCACTCCATTAAGTCCTCTTGTTTAGAATCATAGCACATCTTTACCCATGGAGGTCGAAGGCCGGGGGCACTTTAATTAGAGAGACTCCAAGAGTCCACTGGGACCCGAGCTTCAAAATGATGGTGGCACCACTTTAACTAAATCTCATTCAATGAGCTTTAGTTAAAGTGCCCTCACTGCCATTTTGAAGTGCAGGGAGGCTGAATACACAAGATGCCGAGGCTGCTGCAGCACACTAATTAGCATGCTCTAGCAGACTTGATTAATCAAGTTTGCTCTGACATGTTGTAATTACAGTGCGTTGGAGCAGCACCCCCGCATGTCTACAGGCACTCATAGGGTGGAAAACATGTCACTTGACACCTCAAGTGTGCCAACATATTTTTTTTTTTATGGCACCACAAAAGGTGAGCAAAAAGATGTCCCTACCCTTTGTTATGCCATGTAGGAGGAAAATCAGTGGCATGATGAAAAGTAGTAATAGTCTCTGCCACTTTATAGTGGCAGTTGTTGTCTATTAGCTCTGTGATAGGAGAGTAGAGAGGCATGAGCCCCAGAGAATCTCTGGTGCCCTGTGCCTCCATGATGGAACTTGCTTATCCAGGCTTGCCCCTGGAAACTCCAGGTACCATCTGGGTAAAGGAAAAAATAAGGGTTTCCCTGCATAGCTAGACCCATCCCTAGAGATCCCTAGTCTCTCAGACCCTCTTCTTGGATCTCTGGGAGTGCCTTTGGGATAGAAGGAAAGTGGGGCTTTCTCTATTTACCCCAAACCACCTCCTAAGATCACATTGCCCCTTATCCCACACTATCAATGGAATCCACGTTGTGGCAGAACTGATCTATTTAATTCAGCAACATCTATTTTTAGGCCTAGAATCATAGAAACATCAATCTGGAAGGGACCTCTGGACATTATCCAGTACAGCTCCCTGCTCAAGGTAGGATCATCCCTATCCAAGCCACCCCATGCATTTGGAATAAATCTTGTCTAACCTATTACTAAAACTACAAAATCCACCCTGGAGCACACCCCTAGCCTGCTGCAGGAGAATCAGAGGGAAAACGGTGGTCAGTATCCTGTTGCTGCAAGGGTTGTCAAAATTCATGTGAAAGATTCAAGGGACCCCAGGCTATAGGTAAAGGCAAAAAAGTCCCACAACCTGTACCAAGCTCAATATGCTGCAATACCAAGCCCTACAACCTGTGGCAAGCTGTACCAATCTGTACAAAGCTGATCAGGAAGGGTAAAATTCCTTCCTGATCCCAAATGTAGCAATCAGTCTGACCCTGAACAGAGGGCTGAAATAATCCACCTCAGATCAAGATGCTATGCTGTTACTATCTATTGTTAACATGCAGGTCCACTCTTCCACCAGCACATCCTACTCCAGAGGTGGGCAAAATATGACCCGCGGCCTGGATCCGGCCCACAAGGCCATCCTATCTGGCTCACAGGGCCCCTAAAAAATGTACAAAATTAATATTTCTCTGCCCTTGGTTCCTGTTAAAAATGACAGGAATCAAGGGCAGTAGGACCTAGGGGAAGTCCAATAACAAGCTACCCAGCCCTGTCCCCCACCAGCCAGAAACCCCAGCCAGGGCTTCTGGCCTGGGAGTACATGGCTGACCCACGCTGGAACCACAGGTAAGTGTGTGTGTGGGGGGGGCGGGGAGGAGAAGAGTAGGGGGACCCTGGGCAGGGAAGGAGTGCAGGGGGAAGTGGCTCCTCCCCCACCCCACCCCACACTCAGCTGCTGCAGCTGCTCACAGTCTGCCTGGGACTGCCTGTGCCTGCTCTGCACAGCTTTGTGCAGGCTGCGAGTGGCTGCAGCAGGGAGCACTGGCCATGGGGTGGGGGAGAGGCTGTTTTTCCTCCCACACTCAGCTTTTCCCTGGGCTCCTTCTCTGCACGGAGAAAAGTGGCCCCTTGCCTGCCCCATGGCTGGCGCTCCCTGCTGCAGGTGCTCACAGCACATGTGGGGCTGTCTGGAGCAGGTACAGGCAGCCCCATGCCGACTACAAGCAGCTGCAGCATAGGGCACCAGGCATGGGACAGGGAGGGGCTGCTTTCCCCCGTGCCCCCCACCATGCTCAGCACTACCTTGTAACCTGGCCCCACTGCCAGGCTGGCAGCAGGGCGGGTTATAAGCTGGTGCTGAGCGCAAGGAAGAGCGGCCCCTCACTCACCGTGTGGCCAGTGCCCCAAGCTGCAGCCACTCGCAGCCTGCCTGGGACTGCCTGTGCCTTCTTCAGACAGCCCCACATGGACTGTGAGTGCCTGCAGCAAGGAGCACTGGCCATGGGGTGGGTGAGGGGCCACTTTTCCCCACACTCAGCACCAGCTTCTTCCCTGCTGGCAAGCAGGGGTTGGGGCAGTGCACTGCCCCCCACCTGTACCACAGGGCTGGGGGGCACTGGGAGTGAGCAGGTGAGGGAACCAGTGGGAGCACGGGTCCTGTACCAGTTTCCCAGGGCCAGTGCTGGTGGGGCCTACAGCAGGGTGGCAGGAGCACAGGGTCCCAGCTGGCAGGGGCTCTGTGGAGCTGGGCCAGCTCCCCCCTCTCCCTGCTGGTGCAGCTCAGCCCAGCTTCATGGACCCCTACCAGCCTGTACCCTGCTTTGGGCCCCACCAGTGCTGGCCCTGGGACATTGGTCCCAAGACACTGGGACATTGGTCCCAAGTTGGTGACCAGGGGGCGAGGCACCTGTTAAGGGGCAGGGCTACCCATGCAGCCCTTGACAGCCTGCCAAAACTGGGTAAGCAGCCCTCTGTCCAAAATAATTGCCCACCCCATCCTACTCAGTCATTCCTATATAGTGGGTACATCTATATGTGCTATTAAGATGACTGAATAAACTCTGGCATAGGTCGCAATGGAGTTTATTGCTCCCAGGTGCAATGTTT